ACACATACACACACCACACACATACACACCACATACACCACACACACCACACACATACACTACATACACCATGTAACACGCTGCACATCACACACACATACACACACCACACACATACACACACACAACACCACACACTACATAACACACACCACACACCATACACACCACACACCACACACTCATACACACACCACATAACACCACACACCATACACACCACACACACACCACACACACATAGACCACACACATGCCCCATACCACATACACCACACCACACACACACCAGCTGTCCTTGGCAGTCCCTTGCTTGGTGGGACTCCATGAAGCCAGTTCCTGAGCTGAGAGCGGCTCCTGGAGGCTGTGCTGGACGCGGCGTGGTGGCCGCTGTTCTTGGTCTTCCCAGGAAGGGGCCACCCAGGGCCGTTGGTGGCCCAGAACTCAGCCTTCATTAGATCCACGGCCCACGGGAGCATCCTGCTTGCTTGGGGACAATGCCTGGTGGGAGGTGGTGCCAGGGCCTCGCCTACCACTCTGGGCTACAGGCTGTCCCCCCTGGAGGCTGCTGGCCACCACCGGCTCCACTCCCCACAACACCCCCACTGGGGCCATTGAGGCAGCTCCTCCCCAGCCCGCTGCTTTGGAGGCCACGAGAGACAGCGGCAGAGTTTAAGTGGGCAAAGGTGGGAACAGGGGCTCAAGGTGTGGGGGGTTCAGAAGGGTCACAGTGCTGCCCTCTCTCGCAAATGACAGCTTTTGACGTTCAGAGGGCAGGTGGGAAGGGTTTCAGCGGAGCCCTCAGGCAGGGTCTCAGAAGCCGCAGGGACAGCCAGGAGGAAGGGAGGGATGTGTGCAGGAGAGTGTCTGCCTCGGGCCTCCCACCCCATGCGAGAGGAGGCCTGGGACACAAAGCTGGCCCGTGAGGTCACTCCAGGCCTCGCTAGCCAGCAAGGGCCCGGGACCCAGGAGGCTGGAGGAAGGGCAGAGCAGAGGCAAGGAGGAGAAGGCTAGGGGGCACCTGAGGTCCCCAGAGGGGGCCAGGGTTATCCAAGGGCTTTGGGGGTTACCTGGGGGAGCCGCTCTGAGGCTGGCTGACCTGTGTGGTGCTGTTGGATCTTCTAAGGTTGTTGATGGCCCGGGAGCCCCCAGGCCCTGTGGCCTCCTGCGAAAAGGGAGAAAACAGTTAATTAAGCAGCAAATGCTCACTCACCAGTTCGCTCAGCCTCCGCCTGCTTTGGAGAAACGCAGTCAGAGAACAGAGGGGTGGCCCTAGGGGTACAGGTGGCCCAGGTGGCCCCAAAGGCAGTGGGTGGTCAGAGGGGCAGGAGTGCTAGACAGCAGGGCAGCGGGAGGGGGGCTGAGGCCTGACCTCTAAGAGCCTCCCCGGCCCCGCATCAAGCAGGAGCCCTTCACCCCTGGCAAAGGGACGGCGGGAAGGGAGCTGCTCACTGTCACCGCTGTCACCCACCAGCTCCCAGGAACCGCGAGCTCCCACCTTCCGTGGATGAGAAGAGAACCCCTGGGGACCCTTCAGCCCACGGTCTCCTCCGTCAGCAGGGAGGGCACCCGGAGCCACTCTGTGGGGTCACGATGAGGACTAAGGAGACGCAACCGCGACCAAGCGCTATAGGACCTGGGAGTGAGTGCAGCCAACGGCTCGGTGGTTCCAGGTCCGTGGAAAGGGGCGGAGGGGCACAGGGGATGAAGGGAAGGCTGCGCAGCAGACGCTAAGCGAGGATCAGAGCGCTCGGAGAAGCAGCACTTGGGGAAGCGGCGCTCGAGGAAGTGGCACTCGGGGGTACCTTACGCTACGCTCCCTGACTTTCCCGTAGGCTTAAAAACCCTCCAAATCGGCTGGATGTGGTAGCTCACGCCTGTAATCCCAGCACTTTGGGAGGCCAGGGTGGGTGGATTACGAGGTCAAGAGATGGAGACTGTCGGGTGCAGTGGTTCACGCCTGTAATCCCAGCACTTTGGGAGGCTGAGGCAGGTGGATCACGAGGTCAGGGGTTCGAGACCATCCTGGCTAACACAGTGAAACTCCATCTCTACTAAAAATACAAAAATTAGCTGGGCGTGGTGGCGGGCGCCTGTAGTCCCAGCTACTCAGCAGGCTGAGGCAGGGGAATTGCTTAAACCTGAGAGGCGGAGGTTGCAGTGAGCTGAGATCGCACCACGACACTTCAGCCTGGAGACAGAGCGAGACTCTGTCAGAAAACAAAACAAAACGAAAAATACAAAAACCTTCCAAATCATACATTTCAAGGGAAAGGGCTCACAGTCCAGTGGGAAACAGCCTGGGGAACACCACCAGATGCCACTGGACACCACAGCCACCAGTGACATCGATCCTGGCCAGGTGCCCACGCCACCACAGGATGGGACCTCGGGTCTCCAGTTTCCCAGGAAAAGAGACCTATGAACTTTCAGATTTATTTTTAAATCTGAATCCTTAAGCTGAAAACAACCCACCCAACCAAAAAAAGACCAAAAAAAAAAAAAAAAAAAAAGCTCCAGGAAAGCAGCTACACACAGATCCCACCACGAAAGCAGCCACACACGGATCCCACCACGAAAGCAGCCACACACGGATCCCACCACGAAAGCAGCCACGCACGGATCCCACCAC